GGTTTACCCCTTGGAATTGGCAAATCAAAAAAAGAAGTCTTTGATTACATTATAGACTCTATCAGAAACAAGCTTCAAAACTGGAAATCAAAACTTCTTAGTCCTGCTGGTAAGGAAGTGCTGCTTAAAGCAATCATTCAAGCTCTGCCAATCTTTTCTATGTCTTGTTTTAAACTTCCTTTATCTCTGTGTTCTGAGATTTCCCAAATGTGTGCTAAATACTGGTGGCAATCTGGTGATTCTAATTCTAAAGGCATACATTGCAAAAAGTGGACTTTACTCTCTTTACCTAAAGGAGATGGAGGATTGGGTTTTCTTGATATGCAGGTTTTTAATCAGGCTCTAATTTGTAAGCAGCTTTGGAGAATTGCTTCTCAACCTGAGCTGTTAGTGAGTAAACTTTTGAAGGACAGATACTTTCCTAATTCTGCCATCACTCATGCTTCTAAATCTGCAAAGGGTTCCTGGATGTGGAACAGTTGGATGGAGGTAATTCCTTTTTTCTCTAAGTGGCTGAAAACTGAGATAAGGAATGGCATGAAAACTCAAATAGCTGATTTCAATTGGGTGCCTTCTCTTCACAAGCCCTCCCCAACTTTAATTCCTTTGGCCAGAGAGCATTTAATTTGGGTCAAAGAACTTATCAACTCTGATGGTCTTTCTTGGAATGAGTGGTTGGTTAGACAGGTTTTTGACCCTCTGGATAGTGAAGCAATTCTCAGAATCTCTACTCTTAATCCAGTCAGACATGACAGACTTTATTGGGGGCTAGATTTGAAAGGTCTGTTTTCTGTTGCTTGCACCTACAAATTTCTCTCCACAGTTAAGCTTGCTCTTCTTGATATTCCTGAGTGTAGTTCCAGCACTTCCATCTGCAAATCAGTAAAATTCAGATTCTGGAAAGTTAAAGTGGCTGGAAAATTGAAACATTTTATATGGAAGTGTATCTCTGGAACTCTTCCTGTGGCAGTTCTTCTGAGGAAAAGGAAAGTAAATGTTGATCCCATCTGTTCCATTTGTGGAGATGCAGCTGAAACTATAGAGCACATTCTTCTCTCCTGCTCCAGAGCATGCAGAGTTTGGGACATTGCACCTGTTTCATGGCAAGGTATCCTCAGCAGCACAGATTCTTTCAAAGAATGGTGGTTCAAAATCTGTACCCTTGATTATTCTGAAGTCACTGAAGCAAGAATCCAGCTTTCTACTTACATCCTTTGGTGACTTTGGAAATCAAGGAACTTGTGGGTGTTTCAACAATCCTTGATGCCTGTATCTCAAGTCATTAAGTCAGCCCATGATGACTGGCTTCAATTCTCTTCTGCTTGTAGCTCTTAACTTGTTGTTTAGTTTAGCTTTTTATTTTCCTTTTCGGGTTTAAATTGCTTGCTAGGCCTTTGGCAGTAGAAGGAATTTATTTCCCTAGTTTCCTTTTCTTTGTTCTTGTTCCTCGTGTTGAGGCTCTAGGCCACCTCTTGGTGTGTCTCTCATTTTTAGGTTTGTATTCCAGTTGTACTGGCTTTGTATTTGGACTATGTCCCTCTTTGAGTTTATGATAATTGTTCTGTCGTTTTGGAAAAAAAAAAAATTAAAAATGTGATTGGTTTATAACCACCATCAATCATTATTATTGTATTAATGAAAATAAGATTAATTATGTGGATTGATTAACAACTCCAAACCACCATAATTAATTTATTCTTATTAATATTTAATCTTCAATCATATTAAAGATAAATAATAAAATTATAATTCTTGAAAAAATTTTTCAAGACTTTATTATTTTAATCTGTTCTTCCATTTCCTTATTTAATAATCT